GTGTTTTGGTCTATACTATATATCTTTTCATCTTCTAAATGACTGAATGAGAAAAAAGTAAAAAAAAATGAAAATTCCGAACTCCAAGGAAAGTTCAAAATGGAAAGTCTCTTAACAAATGGCAAAATCAAAAGCTTAAACACGTCAAACGAATGGAAAACAACTTTTATATTCCGGACTTGGTACAAGCAATTCCTTATGTAGAAAATTGTGGATTAAACCTGGTTTTATAGCTAGCCAGTCGCATAAAATTTGAGATTTGAACATTGGTAAATTATTGTTTCTTCCAATATATCGCTATATATACGTCATACATAACTAATATATTTTTCATTTACTAGTATCACAACTTTATAATTTTTTGAATATGTTCCTTGATTGCTTTATACTGAGAGGCTAGTTAGAGGCAACAGTATTTAACCGATCTTCAAATCTCATAAATTTATTAAGAAGATACTTGTAAAGGTAACACAAAAAAATGAGGATAATGGAATGAACTCATATAGGGGCGATTGTTTGATTGATTAATTGATTGGTGGTGCTTAAACGCAACTTTAAGCACTCTGTGCTATATTGTCGAGGCCAGTTTTTACCCTTAGAAAACCGACGACCTTTGAGGAAAAATCGAAAGAAGCAAGAATTGGCGCATTGTATGCTCACAGTTACTGGAAGCTAGTCAATTACTCTTAATAAACCATATTTCTAATAATAAAGTAGCAATCAGCACACGTCCAATAGGCAATCATAGTCTTTTTAATACTTGCTTACTTTTGATGGTCTGGCTATTTTTACTTAAGTTTGTGGATTGATCTCGCATTGGCGCTTTTCAAGCACAGCCTTTCTTCGAATTTTGTCTTCTCTTTCTTTGTAGTAAACAAAGCTCATATATATAAAAGAATGTTCAAAGTATTCAGTTCACTATTGAAACTTTCCTGTGACGAACATATAATAATAGTGACTAATCAAAATACGTTTGGAAATTCCCACATTACTACATACCTATAGATCTTATACCTACCTGTATTTCAATCTTTCAATTAATTGTAACCGAATCAAATTGTTAACCTATTCTATGCTCTATGTACACAAGGTTAAAGATATGATTTACATCGTGTAACTTATATCAACCGCCAATATGCAATGTAAAGGTCAATAATTTTGAAATCAAATTGAAAATCATACTAATATTCTTTCTAATTAGTTATTTTAAAGGTTATTTGTAGGGCTGAACTTAATATCTAATCATGTACAACTAGATTAACAAATTTTCAGTTCATAAGTCTTAAACAATTACATTAAATATTTTTGCTGCATGTTCTGCTATAGAAATTAAGTCCTTTCACCGAATCATTTAAAGTTTGTTGACCATTATAATCGATGAAACTCCAATGAATGATACAACAGCTGCACCAAAAGCCCTTTCACATCTTGACTTAAACCTAAATTTCGAAAGTGAAGTTTGTTCGTTAACTTAACTTTTTGCAAACACGGGTATCTACATTATCTCGAAAATCTGTTAAAGTTGATCTGATATAACCAGAGCTTGTCCGTATCCTATTATGATTCCCACAATAGAGAATTGCTTTACACGTTAACATTAAATATTCTGTACGTATGGTAAAAAATAAAATATCAAAAATACCTAACTCCAAGGAACATTCGAAATGGAACGTCCTTTAACAAATGGCAAAATCAAAAGCTCAAACACACCAAACGAAACAAACACAACTGTCATATTCCTGACTTGGTACAGGCATGTCTTTATGTAGAAAATGGTGAATATTAAATCTATTTCTTTTAAAGTTTGCGGATGTCATCATGACTTGCTTGTGTGTGATAAATATCTGTATCACAAACATCAATGAATCTGTTTCATATTTTATATCCGTTGTTCTTTTCTCGTTGATTACTTTCCATGGAATGGTATTTGATAACAGTTACCAGAATGTTTCTACAAATTTCATAATTAAGAGATTATTTTCAATTTCAAATTTTGAACTATTCATTTTTGGGTAGCAACATTCCAGCATAAATAATTTTAATCCCAAAGTTGATACAAAAAAGTATAACAAAAATACCGAAAGCAATAAAAACTGACAAAATCAAACGTTTTCAACAAACGGAACGAGTGAAAAACAGTGTCATATTTCTGACTTGGAACAGGCATTTTCCGAAAAACAAAATGGTGGGTAATACATGGTTTTATACCTAGCCTAATCCCCCACCCACCCCTCTACCCTCTAATCCCACCCACCCACCCAAATTGTTTATATAATAGACTTTGAAATGATCTCTAAATCTCCATTTATTTTGTTGGAATGTTCTTCAAAATTAATAAATTGTCGTTAGCCGATATATATGTGTCAGTTGAATACAGATATGACTATTATGTACTAACACCAGGGCAAAACGCCTTTTTAATAATTTTTTTTTACTTACTCAACCTTACTCTACAAACAACATATTTTTTTTTATAGAAACAGTATTAAGTGTTGATTAGTTGTAAAGTTTGAAGAAATGAATCCAAACAAGAACTTGCCATGTGTTTGGTTACTTAGCAATCTTAAAGTTTCTTACATGCATTCTTAACTTATGAAGGATAAAATATTTTCTTGCAAGTATGATTAAAATTATTTATATAAATAACCCATTAAATATTGCGGTGATGAAGACTATTTCTATTCTAATTCATTTGTTTCCGCTGAACTGTCAATTTAAAAAATTATATTTAGATTAAGTATGTCAAAGTATTTAAATTTTCATAAAGCCATTCCCAACGTGCAACCAATCACGATGGAAAGTTCAACCTTGGATTTCATTATCTTTTATAAATTTTATCATCGGAGAACTTTTGTCGCCTTAGTTTATAAACTCGTTTCCTCTCTTTCCTTGCCATTTTGTTACGAATACCAAAGTTTTAAATAAAAATTTAGTCCTTTTTCCCATTCACACTTCTTTCTTATTCCTTTTAAATTTAAATTGTCCTGTTTGTATTGAAGCAGTGGACTTACTATATTTTTAGTGTACCTCTTGTTGGATTCTTAATAGATTTAATGGTACCAAACAATAGAAGGTTTAAGGAAATGTGTAAACTTTAAAAAACTCAGCAACTCTGGGTAGATACCGTTCTAAAAATAATGTAATTATGTTGAACCATTTGAATCTACATCATATACTTTTATGATTTATTGACATTTGGCTGATTTTTGAACTGACGACTGGTTTTCTGATGAGCACGATTCATGCACTGTTGAAACAGAATATATCCAAAGTAGAAATATGTAAGCGGGGATATAACCCTTAGAATTTGGAACATAAAGTGTCTCTCTAAGAACGAATATACTCTAAGAACGAATAAAGTTAGGATAATTATCCCGATGAGCTAGAATTCAGGCTTATTCAAACAACAATTAAGTATAAAACATCCTTTTCTGAGTGTCATTTTACCTGTATCGTCTACATTTTCTGTTACATTAGTACAGCTTTTCGCTCCTGAAGAGCTTATGTCAGCTATATAACTCGATTGTATGAACAAAATCATTAATACATGTCTAATTTAACAACTAAAGATGATGAATGGTTGATAGCGTTAGCTAGTCTTTCGATATTAAGCTCAAATGTTGCAATTGATCGCAAACATATTTCCTTTAGTGGAACCCGTTCGTTCACCGATTTTGACCTTAACAGACTCATCGCCGGCTTTAACTAATGGTAAAGGATTTGGGCATAAGACACAGGGAAGAATGGTGCCATTCCTTAGCACTCCTGGGTTTGATGAGGAACTCTATTCAAAGTTAAGTTTTGTGTGCCTTATGTTCGTTGAAGTTTTGGTGTGTCTCGTTCCTGTGTAGTTAATAGGCAAGCGCTTTGGACGCATAAAATTTAAAAAGTGCTGTTATGATTTTTACAGCACTAGGTCGATATCGCTGGTGGACTTCCAGTTCCATGGATATCATCATTCTGTGTAGTTAGTACTTCGAAACTGACATGACTTTATAACAAACCTTTCTTATGATGTCCGTTTATAAATCTATAAGTTATAACGAAACTAAGGTTTCAACTCCCACAGGCAAAGTTGACCTTAGATGGATTTTGCTATAATTTTGAGGTTCTTTTTTGGTCATATAGTTCTTCGACTGGTTCGGTCCTTATACATCCTTGGCTTTCAAATATTCGACTTTTGAGCGTTCCTGCTGAAGGTAAGTAAATACAAGCGCTTCAGATGAATGAAAGTAATAAACCGTTGTTTTCATTTTTTATTCTGGGTTTCAATTTATTTTTCGTATTTTACCTTCCAAATATTGAATAACACAAACCACACTAAACCCCAGGAATAAATAATATGTTCAGGAAATGTCAGCAGTTATTGCTCCACTAGTGGCACTCCGTCGTGTTTCCCATGCCGAGAACAAATACTGGTTTTATTCACATTGGATAATTTGAAGATGCGGAATATATAAAGGAACAATCAAAACTCAAAGATAGACTGACAGAACATGGCAGTTTTTATACCATTGCACGAGGTGGGTAGTTTAATTGTGTGAACTATAACAGATCTTAAAATTTTTTAGTGTTCACCTCTTCTTCACAACAACCCCTTGAGTAGGTGGATACATGAACCCCTCCCCCTTTAATTGGCGATAAAATAGTTGCTCTTTCTGTAGACAGAGAACATGTATGCCATTTGGATATTCAGTTGATTAAAGGAAAATCCAGTTCGGCATCTTTGTTTGAATATTTAAAAATTAGCACAATTAATTATTGTTGGAACGGGTCATATTTTGTGATATTGCAAAAGTCTTTTTTACCAAAAAAGAAAAGAAAATTTAAATTCAAATATAAGAAAGTGCAACTAATAGTCATCTTTAAATTAAAAATGTATACATTCCGAGGTTGTCTTTGATGATTCCACCTTTGTTTTAATTATTTTTACCCTTCTCAATGATGATATAGACACAACAAAGACATTTATCCAAAAAGAGTGTGTGTGTGTATGAACTTCCTTGTTTAGTGCATTGGATAATATGTCTGCAAAGCACTTGTTAATTTCTTCCTTATTGTGGTTTATTTGTTGATTAGGTTGTCATGGATATTTTCGTATCATTCGTAAGTATAGTAGTTTAGTTATTTAGAAAATAATTATTGTTTTGTAGTTCAAAGTTTAAAATCTTATTTGTTTCCATAAAACAACAATTTTAGGTACTAGTGTGTATTTCTATGTTCGTGTAGGAATGGTGTAATCTTTAATATGTTCGTGTAGGAATGGTGTAATCTTTAATATAAAGTAAATTATCATCCACCGACTTTTGCTTTAAACCTGAAATTAAAAGTTTAACAGATGATATTAAAAAAGAAACTAAAATTCAAACTGTAAAGACGGACTAGTGTCTTATAACACATGTTTTAAATATTTGTATATGAAAAGAAAAAATAAGAAGTGTATTTAAATAAAAATGAAAGTACAAAAAGGCAAATCCAATATATACTGATGGTAAGTGCTTATCTTTTATCTTTAAAATAAAACGTTTTAGAATATCCACATATCTATAAAATACTAGGAATTAGAACGTTCAGAGCAGAATTTCTTGTTTTGAAGGTACAATGAAAAACATATCATGTACTTTGCACATATCTTAATTAAAAGAAATGTTCCGTTTTGTGAATGCAAATGTTATTGACAGTAATTACAAAGGATTGCGATCACCGCCGCACTTATTTTCCATTTCCATTATGATTGAATGTTGTTTCATATACTAACTTTGTCCTTTGATTGCATTTTTATGTCTCCCCTTCAACGAAGAGAGATATTATGCTTAAGTGGTCAAACAATTAATTTGTAAATATAAAAAAAGAAGATGTGGTATGATTGCCAATGAGACAACACTCCACAAGAGACCAAATTACACAGAAATTAACAACTATAGGTCACCGTACGGCCTTCAACAATGAGAAAAGCCCATACCATGTTCACTTCAAGACTATATATATTCTTTTTTGGCAAGGTAAGTCCTTTATTAATACAACTGAGTATTTGCCCCTTGAGGTCATGATCCGCCCCTCATATCATATATTGTAAATAAATGCAACAGTAGTATATCGCTGTTTAATAGCAATAATTAGATTACGCAAAAACAAATCCGGGTAACAAACTAAAACCGAGGGAAACACATCAACACATGAACTACAACAAAAGCAAACACCAACATACATAGAAACAGATTGTCTGATATTAACTGCCATTTTCCTAACTTGGTACAGGACATTTTACAAAAAATGGTGGATTGAACCTGATTTTATGGCTAGTCAAACCTCCCGCTTAAATGGCAATGTTAAAAATACAGCTAAAATGACAACACAACGTGACAGGAATACAGAACAAACAAACGCAAGAACACTCAGCACAGAGAAATACATAAATAAATAATATAATAATACATTACAACATGTAAACGGCAGAATAACAACGAACACCTCCCATGAATTTACGACTGTGAAATATCTCAAAAAAGTTGGTCACATCCCACCTCTTGACCATATATAGTCGTAATTTCCTTGATAAGACATTTGTAGTTCGTCATCAGGTTTGTCCCGGAGGAAAAGTCCCGCCCCTTGCTTATAGCTAATTGTTGAATATCTTGATAACTGTTCATATCCCGATCCCTAGAATATATATTCCTCAATTGTCCCAACAAGACTTTTATGGTACACCATAGATATCTTTTGCTTTGGGTCATGCCTTGTCTCATTATATCTGTAATTATTAAATATATTCAATATATATTCTCAGTTGTCATGACTTAATCTTTCAGCGCATACACGTGATTGTTGTGTCTTTTCATTACTGGAGTGATAGGAGAAGCATAAGCTTTAGTATACTACAACAGTTTCATCTAGTTTTCAATGAAATATTTTTTTACTTCATAAAAATCTCTTCTAACAAAATGAAATAATTTCGGGCCATTAATTTCAATGATATTAAGATATTTTGACCATATCCTTTTTTATTATGACTGGAGTTTTAAAAAACTGAAACTATCGTAAAATTGAAAACAAATGGACAAATCTTGGAAATGGATTTTAATTGTGAATATAATTATAAAGACCACTAAAATATGTAATAAAAGGGATATAATGTTTTCACCATATTTTAAAGCAAAATCTTCACTTTACAATATATTGTTGAAAAAAATACAGATCGAACTGTGGTTGTCTTTGGTGGATAGTTATCTCATAGGAAATCATACCACATCTCCTCATTTTTATAAAATCATAAATTTTCAATAGAAAGTACCAATTGACATGTTTTAGTTTTTAAATTCTTCCCTATTGCAGTTTAATCATTAATGAGATTGTTATTGATATTTTTTCACGCATCCGTAAGTTTAAAATTAAGATTTTGATTAAAGTTGAAAAATGTTTTTATTCCTATAAGAAATAAATGTGAATGTTAGTGTAACATGTTTTGAACTCAAATTACAAAAAATGAGAACAACACTTTATCAATTTCATACAGTCAATACATAGGTTTGTGTTCACTGCTACAGTTAATTATTTTTCAGTTTGTTTTCTGTTTTATGTACAAAAGTCCGTTGATTCTAGGTTGTTTAATGAAATGGCTTATTATCCATTAAATCTGCTGGGAAACACATCGAATGTAGGCAAGAAATTAATGTAAATGATCGGGCATATTGACATATCCTTACTGTTAATAGTTTTCTAAAAAGCACTAAAACTATAATCAAATTTGTACTAATGGGAAATATCTTAAATGTAGTAATAAATTAAAAAAAATAATAAATAATACAATTCTAAAGCAATACAAAAATGTAAAAATATTTTCACCAGATTTCTACCCAAAATTGACTGTTGTAATTAGACAAACAATCAAGATAAATTGTCCATGATCTCATTTGTTAACGGTAATTTAATTCAGACGTTGCTATCTCTGACAGCTATCTTAAATGAATACTGTTAAAACAGTGTTTTTTTAGGAAACATCTTGGCCTCATTTTAAAGCCACTGACAAGACGATAAATAAACTAATTTTGAAATCAACTTTCTTACTTTCACCCGATTCTGTTGTAATTGTACAAACAATCAATTAAACATTGTCCATGATCTCTATTGTTAACGGTAATTTGATTCAGACGTTGCAAAATCTGACAGATATCTGAAATGAATACTGTTGAGTAATTGTTTTGTTAGGGAACATCTTGTCTTCTTTCTAAAGCCATTGACAGGACAATGGAATACATAAAAATTTGAAATCAACTTTCTTATTTTCACCCGATTTCTATCCAAAATTGACTGTTGTAATTGTACAAACTATCGAGATAAATTGTCCATGATTTCATTTGCCAATAGTAATTTGATTCAGACGCTGCAAACTCTGACATATATCTGAAATGAATAATGTTGAAACAGTGTTTTGTTAGGGAACATTTTGGCCTCTTTCTAAAGCCACTGACTAGACGATAATAAAACTAATTTTGAAATCACCTTTCTTGTTTTTCACCAGATTTCAATCCAAATTTGACTCTTGTAATTGTACAAACAATCGAAATAAATTGTCCATGATCTCATTTGTCAATGGTAATTTGATTCATAAAATTAAGAATGGAAACGGGGAATGTGTCATAGAGACAACAACTCGACCAAAGAGCAGAGAACAGCTCAAGACCACCAATGGGTCTTCAACACACCGAGAAAATTCCGCACCCGGAGGCGAGTTTAAGCTGGCCCCTAACCAAAATGTATACTAGTTCAGAGAAATGGATGGCACACTAAACTCCGAAATATACAAATAAATGAAAGTTTAAAAAAACATACAAGACTAACAAAGGCCAGCGGTTCCTGTCTTGGGACAGGCGCAAAAATGCGGCGGGGTTAAACGTATTTTGTGAGATCCCAACCCTCCCCTATACCTCTAGCCAATGTCGAATAAACAAACACACAGCAATAGAAGAAGTCCGAGTCCGATGTTAGAATAGGTAACAGAAGAAAATAAGCAAAATGACAATGATTTATACTTGTTTTCTTTTGGTCGTTTTTCGTTTTTTGCCATGGCCTTATACCAACTTATGAGTTTATATGTCCCTTTGGTATATTCCGCCCCTCAATTCCAACGTTTAAAATTATTAGAATAATATTTTATATAATTCATTTTTTTTTTCATTTAAATACCAACATTTTCTTCAGAAATGTTTGTACTGGTGTATTATGTGTTCGTGCGTGACAGACAGAAACTACATACTGTATCATTTGTAGACTTTACCTTTCCCTTTTAATGAATAGATTATATAAAAAAATGAGATTTGGTATGGTTCATACTTGCTGTAATAATACCAATCAGCAGATGCTGATAAAGCTATAAATATCTTTTTCTAGGACCTTTGATTGGTTAATTCCTCTAAGGTATGACTATTTGATAGATTGTGCGTGCGGATGAGTAACAATATGGTATACATAAATTTTTATTTTTTAGGGTCATTTGTACTGACTTTTAGTTTTATTTTAATATAGTTCAAACAACCTAACCTGGGGTTTTCCAGAATGCCTATTTTCACCGTCTGTTTATCTATTAAAGTACTTTCTACAAATTATAAAAAGTATATCAATTTTTTTCTCAGTAATTTAAATGTGTTTTTATCGAGAAATGTGCTTTTGAAAATGGACATCACTGGTTTCTTCTATATGCCATTTTTCATTGGTAAACTAAAAACACAAATAGCTTTCGCCAATAAAAGTTCTTTTGTTGTCATAAAAAACTATTTGATATTGGTATATTTTTTTCCCCAAACAAAATATTATATTCAAACATTTTTTTACCTATAAAGTACGTTTGAAGTGTTTCATATATATTTCATTGTTTGCCATCTGTTCTTCCTTTTTGACTTTTAAAAAATTCTATATAAACTGTAATGACAAAACAAAATATAGCAAACTTTGCACTTAAATATGATTAAAGCGTAAATATGAATGTAAATTTTCATTGATAAGTATATCATAGACGTAATCAAGCTATAAATAACAATGTTGGGTTTAGGCACTTTGGTGATACCCTTTTCTAAAAATAATCTACACTTCCTTGTTTCGACTATGACGAT